AGAGGATTTTGAATTTTCTCACAGTTATAGATTTTGATATCGTTTCTCATGGATTAGTCAGCAAAATCACCTGAGAGTTGGATTTTACAAGATCTCTCAGAGTTGCATATACTTAAAAGTCAACAGACTTGATGTAGGGCAATGACTTCCCTGAAATGGAAAGGCAGAAAACAGTGACTGAGAGCACAGGAGCTCTCATATTCTAGGATTAAATACTACTTATAAGTTGTATGTACCACTAAACACTGAAAGATCCCTCTGTGCCTCAGTTCCTTATTTGTAGATGTGGAAAGTTACTATGGCCTATGGTAGTGTTAATTGTTAAATGTATGTAAGCTGTAAACTCTTCTTCCTTTACATGAGCCCTACACTTTGCAGCTCATGGTGAAGCTTTTATTTGCCATAATCCCCACATCAGTCTCAAGGGATGGGCACAGCAGCAAAGTCTGCAACCCCATTTTTTGTTCAGGAAATTGAAATTTAAGAGATTTTAAGAGCCTTGTGAAGAGTTACAACACCTATAAATAATAGAGATAAGAATATATTTGGTTTCTTGGGGCCAGAGATCCTTTTACATATGAACTCCCTCCACAATGCCCTGGATCCCTTAATGAAGAGCTGTTGTCACTCTTTTCTCAAATCTTCTTGTGCCAAGGTTTCCTTAGGAAGTCTGATGCCCTGGAATAGGCATCTGAGCCAAGAGAAGAGTCAACACACAACCCAGTGTTATGTCCCTTACCTTTTAATGTTTGATATAAAATATGGCAGTTTTTTCTAGTTAAAGTCCCTCTGAAGAAAAAAAGAAAACCCATCCTGCTGGGCCTCTTTCCCCAGTACCTTCTCACTATCAATTCAGTGAGCCATCTTGATGATCAACTGACCACCCTAAGTGACCAGTAGTCTCTATGGCTCTCAAACTGACTTGGAACTCAGGATATTCTAATGCAACTGCCACTTGATGGCTGTACCAAGAAATAATCTTTTTTTTTTTTTTAAATTCACTGCCCAACTGTGGATGGGCAGTTAATGCTAATGAAGAGGGCAATTGGGCACTGGACTGGTGGTCTGGTGGTACAGTAAATCCCTACATCTGCTGACTACTGAGATGAGCAACTGGCTGAATGGAGCAAGGCCTCACTGAGTTCAGGTAGTGATTGCATCCACTTTGAACATCTGCTCATGATGTTCCTCATCCAAACCCAGTCTCATATCCCCTTATCTCTTTCTAGACCCTGCAGGGGCAGGAGGCTGGCTCTTATCTACCTTAGAGGGACCTGACCTATGTCCCAGTATTGAGAAGTGCTCCCTGAGGGAAACTTGGGCCCTCATTCATTCTATCATAAAATGAAATCTCCACACCTTTGCCTGATAGTACTGTCCTTTGTTTTCACTCTCTCATAAGCACCCAAACAGAAGGGATCCTGGCCTTCTCAATTCTGTGGACATCTTACTTTGAAATCCCAAGTTTTTTCCTCTCTAAGCATGTCTGGGTTTGCGCAGGTATAACACTGGGTTTTGTATTTTGACAATGACATTCAGAACAGTTTGGCTTGTGATTCCCCTTACATGAATGTTTATTGCTATGTTTAGATTTCACACCTTCTGCCCCATATCTATTATTTCAAAGAGTGTACACAAAATTGGCATAAAGAAATGAACATTTCCTAAATTTAAGAAATATTTAAGGCAACCATCTTTATAGAATGATAAAATACAACTGAATAATAAAGCCAAACTACAAAAACACATCTAAGAAATATGTGGTTGGGCTGGGGATGTGGCTCAAGTGGTAGCGTGCTCACCTGGCATGTGTGAGGTGCTGGGTTTGATCCTCAGCACCACATAAAAAATAAAAATAAAGATGTGGTGCCCACCAAAAACTAAAAAATAAATATTAAAAAAAATTCTCTCTAAAAAAAAAGAAAAGAAAGAAAAAGAAATATATGGAGAAATTGAAGGATGGAAAAATCAAATAAACATGAAAATAGGTTGGGTTAAAGTTAACTGATTAGTTTGAGGAAATAACATCCAGAAGTTCAGTCTAAATATAACTCCATAGCAGCAAGGTTTCCCATCTCAGAGGATTCCTGATTATAACCTGAGAACCTCACCACTGCTCTCAAATTTGACCCTCTCTGTTCATAGACTGATGGTTGCAATGGAGGGCAAGATGTGCATCACCAAATCACATGATGAGAGACCATCATGGAATTTTCAGAGTGAGCATATGCTACAGTACATGATGTTGTTATTCTGCTCTCTAGACAATTTTGTTTAATATGTCTGTGTTTGTCATTAAAGAGTACATATTTTGGGGCTGGGGTTGTGGCTCAGTGGTAGAGTGCTTGCATAGCACTTGTGAGGCAGTGAGTTCAATCCCTGGTACCACATAAAAATGAACAAATAAAATAAAGGTATTATGTCCATCTAAATCTAAAAAATATTTAAAAAAAGAATACATGTTTTGTTTCAAAAAATAAACCCCCAACCTATATATTATTATTCTTTATTGATAAAACATGTCAAATGAATAATCAAATGATTTTTATTCAGTCCTAGTTGATTAAAAAAGCTTCAGGGTGAAGAGAAACAAAACAAACATATTGAGAATAAAATGTTTTCATTCTTGATTTGAAATACCATTTGAAATATCTATTTTCATTATTCAAGAGTCACCAGATATAATTTAAAAGTTGTCCCATATTAAGTAAAAAAAATGCTTTAATGAAGAAGAAAATGAATTCTTCTGTTTTGGTGTTAAATATTCTGTAGATGACTGTTAGATCCATTTAATTGATGATATTATTTAGGTCAGAAATATCTTTATTGATTTTATGTTTGGATGACCTGTCTATTGGTAATAGAGTGTATTAAGATCAACCAGTATTATTGCATTGGGGTCTCTATGGATTTAATGTCAAGAAGTATTTTAAATGTAATTAGGTGCATTGACATTTGGACATACATAATTTCTCTTTCCATACCTTTTTGTTTGACTGGTCCCTTTACTAGTTATGTAGTGGTCTTCTTTCTCTCTTCTGATTGATTTTTTTGCTTGAAATCTGCTTTGTCAGATATGAAAATAGCCATTCCAGCTTATTTTTTTACTCAAATTGAATGGAATCTTTTTTTCCATCCTTTAACTTTCAGCCTATGAATGTCTTTGCCTAAAAGATTATTCTATTGCAAATAGCATGTAATTAGACCTCAATTTTTAAATTCATTCTGCCTATCTATTTTGGGGAGTTGAGACTATTTACATTCTATGTTATTATAGAGAAATGATTATTATTACCTGATATTTTTGTTAGTTTATTATATTTAATTCTGCCTTTTAAAAATTAATTAATTGCACTTCTATTGATCTTCAACTCTTTGGAAGTTTTGGGGTTTGCTTTTGGGGTCATTTTTGTGAGAATAACTTTATGTATTTTTTGTAGTGCTGGTTTAATGGTCCTGAATTATTTCAACTAAAACTTATAATGGAAAGGTTTTGTTTCTCATTTATTCTGAGAGATAGCTTTTCTGTATAGCAATCTTAGCAGGCAATTGTTATCTTTTAGAGTCTGTAATATCTTATTTCAGGCCCTTCATTATTTTAGGATCTGAGTTGAGAAGTCAGATGTGAGCCTTATTGGTTTGCCTCTAAATGGGATCTGATATTTTTCTCTTGCAGCTTTTAATATTCTTTACTCAATTTGTCTGTTAGGTGTTTTGATTCTAATGTGTCTTGGGGAAGTTTTTTGCTGATCTTGTCTATTCAGGGTTCTATATGCATCCTGTATGTGGGTGTTTTTTCTCACTTCTAAGGTGCAAAATTTTTCTCACTGCCGAGTTTTTTAATACATTTTGTCTGTATCTCCATGCTCTCTTCTATCCAAGCAACTGTCAGGTTTGGTCTCTTGATTTTGTCCCAGGGTTCTTGTATATATATTTTTATTTTTTTTTTTTGTACTGCAAATTGAACCCAGAGGTTCTTTTTTAAATGATCTATTTATTTTTACTTTTTTATTATTAGTTGTTCAAAACATTACAAAGCTCTTGACATATCATATTTCATACATTTGATTCAAGTGGGATTATGAACTCCCATTTTTACCCCGTATACAGATTGCAGAATCACATCGGTTACACATCCACATTTTTACATTCTGCCATACTAGTGTATGTTGTATTCTGCTGCCCTTCCTATCCTCTACTATCCCCCCCTCCCATATTCTCTCTCTATCCCATCTACTGTAATTCATTTCTCTCTCTTGTTTTTTTTCCCCTTCCCCTCACTTCCTCTTATATGCAATTTTGTATAAGAACCCAGGGGTTCTTAACCACTGAGCCACATCCCCAGCCTTTTTTCCATTTTATTTAGTGGCAGGGTCTTGTTAAGTTGCTTAGGGCCTCACTAAGTTGCTGAGAATGGCTTTGAACTTGCAATTCTTCTGTCTCAGCTTCTCAAACTCCTGGGATTATAGGGGTGTGCCACCATATTCATCAGTTCTTGCATATTCTGATCATGGTCTTTCCCCCCCTTTATTGCACACTGAGTATTCAAGTTCATATTCCCCTGTCTTCATGAACTAAAATTCTGTCTTCAAGCCTTGAAGTTACATTTTCTATTCAATCTATTTGGGTGGTGATACTTACAACTAAATTTTTAATTTGATTCATTCTGTCTTTCTCTTTAGGAGTTCTGATTGATTTCTTTTCAATATCTCTATTTTTTTTTATTGAAATGATTAATGGTAAGTTGAGTTTCCCCATTGGCTTATTCAGCCTCACAGCTGCTGGTCTGCATCTGTGCCACAGCCAAGTTGAATCAGCTGGGGTGCTAGAGCAAATGATATGTCTCACATTTGTAGCTCTGTACTTTCCAGTAGTCAAAGTAAAAAATGAAAAAAAAAAAGCAAATTATTTTTAATATCCAGAGAATTATTTTAACATGTAAATCCTTTTTCAAGTTGACACTGGCAGGATGGATTCTTGTACTCTTCATTAGAAGAATCAGAGAAAGGCAACCTGGAACAAGAACATGATTCTTGACTGTTATGCTGAAGAACAAGGGAGATAGCATGTGAGAGCCAGAAATTCCAGGCTGATTCACACAGAAGACAAAGGTGTGTAACTTTCAAATGATCTAGTTTGGCAGGGTCGTGGTATCTTGACATGTAGGGTTTGGGTTTCAGATGTATCTGCACTCTTTATCATACTTTTCAGGCAAGGCATGCCTCATTAGCATCTTAATTATTTCAGGATGTGTGTTTTACTACGCTAATAAGGTAAAATTAAGTGCAATTTACTTTAGTAACTATTCTACATATGCATTGTCTCTCAACACCTGCAGCTGTTCCTCATCATCTGGTAAAGTCCTTGATATTATTTTCATAGCACAGGAGACTATTTTTATGTCTCAGCAGGTTTGATTTTAGTCACAATTTTATATCTGTCATTGGATTCTTGGTATTCCTGATGACCACACAGTCTCAAAAGATGAGCCAACTTCTTGGCCTTCCATTTCATGTGCTATCTTAATTGTATCACCTTGAATACTGATCTACTTTTTAATTTCTTACTTTATAGTATGCATGTTAACTTTGTAAGAGTGAGAATTAGCTTGCCTATCTTAAGGTTACTTATGAGATATATTTTCTTAATATGTCTTCAATATACAGTGTGTCCCTTACCTTCAAAGTGCATCTCATTTTGGAGAAGACCCACTGAAGGTAACAGCAGCCACATTTTCCAAGTGTCTCCTATACTGAACAACTCATTTCTGTTTCCTTTCATCATTTCAGTTTTAAGTCAAATGATGAATTGCACATTTATTCCAAATTGTATTTCACATCAGAACATCAGGTCTATAAGTCTTTATATAGTTATCTCCCCTTATCCCTGGGGGAAATATTGCAAGATCCCTAGTGGACACCTGAAACTGGAGAGTAGAATACACTTTATACACTGTTTTTACAATAGAGACATATCTATAGTAAATTTTATTTTAAAAATTAGGCACAGCAAGAGGCCAAGATACTAATAACAAAATGGAATGATTAAAGATATAGCCTGAATTAAGTTTGTGGGCATGATCTCTCTCTCTTTCTCAAGGCTCAGGACAAACATTAACATTTTTGGGCCCTTTTGATCAGGACTAACTAAAAACCACAGGAAGCAAAAGGGGAAGCTACTCTATACTCTATTTTTGTCCTTTCCTAGTACTGGGAATGGAACATAGTAGGCACATAATATTTCTAAGTGTGAAAGGTGAAATACCAAGTTCACTATTCTTAAGAATTCTCCAGTATTATAATCTTGTGGCAGCCTTGTTTGCAGTGGCCCCAGGTCCTAAACTTGAAACTCAAGAGTTTCTCATTGAACAAGACCCAAGGGGTGGGACTAAATATAAAGGCAACAGTGGCTTCAAACCCAATATTATTCTTAGTGCTGGGTTCCCGTGGTCACCACAGGGTGGCTCTGGTTAGAAGGGCCCCAAGTGCTCAGGCCCAAGCTTCCCCCCGTAGTGGTGTGTTATGATTTGGGTCCCCCTCCCTTCTGCTGTGATGCTCAGTGATCTTATGGTGGAATCATACTGAGGGACACCCAGTATGTAGGGGAAAGAATGGAAGTTCAATGGATTAGACAAAGGGGAATGAAGGGAAGGGAGAGAGTATGGGAATAGGAAAGACAGTAGAATGAATCAGATATAAATTTCCTATTTTTATATATGAATACATCACCAGTAAAACTCCACATCATGGACAACCACAAGAATGGGATCCTAATTAAATAGGTTATACTCTATGTATGTATAATATGTCAAAATACATTGAACTGGTATGTATATCTAAAAAGAACAAATTAAAAAAAAAGAGATAGTTTTTTTCTCTCTACATTCAGTGGAGCTGAGCTGAGGAGAATGTGTGGAGACTGCATTTGGTCAGACTCTCCCTTATATCAGATCTTTGAAC